GTTAATTAAATCTTTCAGCAGTTGAGGTGCCACTAGCTTACTCAAGTTGGGACGAAGACCTTCGCACACATTTAACGCCAAACGATAATCGTGAGCTACTTCTTTGTAATTAACTAGTTCTTTATCATAAATTGCATAAGGTGGTAGACCCGAAAATAACTCATAAGCCACTATTCCAAGAGAATAAACATCTGAGGCTTGAGTATGTGGCTCTCCCCGGAGTACTTCCGGTGCTACGTAAGGTAGTACTCCATAAACTTTACCGTCGTCACTTGCATCGGCCGGTCGGCATAGTCCTAAATCAGTAATGTAACTTTCTGGTTCATATTCGTCTCAATTATTTAGTATGTTGCCTGCGTGAAAATCACGATGCATTAGACCTTTTTCATGAATTCTTTTTATTCCATGAACAATTTCGATTAACTGTCTGAGTCTATTTTCAAAACCCAATTTAATACGATTAATTTTCAAATATTCTCTCAAATTACCACCTTCTATGTAATCCATTACCATTACATAATTCTTAGTTATGGGGTCTTGGGAAATACCATAACATTTTACAGTTCGATAGTTAGTTTCGACCAGTTTGCTATAGGTAATCTCTTGAAAAAAATCGTCCGTCATGTTTTGGGAATTGTGTAAACTTTTTAAAGCCACTTTTTTATCATTTCAACTTGCTCGGTATACTTCACCAAAACCGCCTCGTGCCAAGAACTTAACATTACTAAACTGTTCATGAGGTATTCAGGTTAAAGACTCGCGTTTACTATTTACCTTTAACTGATGTTTTTTAATGAATTGATCAACGTCAGGGTTACCACTGCAGTTACAAGACTGACACCAGTCATACTTGTTGTTAGGTTGTTGGCATTTTTGACATAATCCATAACTCCAATATCTTTCACGCAAATCTTTAAATTCTTTTTCATTATTTAACACCCATTCTACATCCGCTTTTTTGCTATCCCTTAGCCAAACAATGAATTCACAATCTCTTTCTTCAGCTCCTGAAGCTATTCATCTTTTGATTTGTCCTGGGAAAAATCCTCTCGCTTTTCATATTAATTCTCTATTTTTTTCTCTTCAACCTTTGAGCCAACCATTGTTACATCAATCTCCATAAGGAGTCAGTTGTTCCACTATATTTTTTACTTTGCCACTAGTTTCTTTTGGTCAATTGGAGCA